TGAAAATAACACTAGTTGTTTTATAATGTACAGGAAATTGTGTTCTAAACATGGTGGATCAATTGCTCGGAGATTAAGTTCTATTTTAACAGACTTGTCTGGCAATGCCACATTCGTCCAACAAGCGGCGCGGCGCAGGTATCGTCTCTATAAATAGCTATACTTACCGGCTATTTGTTTCGTTTTATTTTTTACCAATCTGCCTTGTCAATCATTGTGCGCGCACCGCCAAACGAAAACCACGCCGATGTATAGAGTTACCTCCATTAAGCATTTGAAAATATTTTACCGGCCATTTTTAGTCTAACAACCGACACAAGACACTATTTTCATTTCTTTTTTACTTCACTTTTGACTTCACTGACTTACTTGTTCGAATGAATATAATAAAAACTCAACAATATTACTAATAATAATTTTATTGAAAATTTGCCCATTTTTTTTAATGAATTACATTCACTTACGTCTTATAGGCCAGAGTAAACTTAGGTAATAAACTTTATCAGTTTCAGTTCTTCGCAGTAAATATAATATGGATATCCTTTCCATGGATGTATACATTTTTTTATTTTAACCCAAATGCCTTGAGCCTTCACCTAGTTATGGAAAAAAATATTTGTAAGTGCACAGAAGTGTCATAAAAAGCAAGACGGATAGACATAATATAATTTGTAGGCTATCGGCTTGCGATGATTTCAATACTCACCCATCAGTGAATTGTATTATTTAAATATTATAACTAGGTATACTTAATATTGTGGTATAACACGTAACATGAACATAAATAAAAATCATTGACTCATTACCTACAAAGCAATTTTCATTGAACATGATTATCTATCTTTTATAATCATATCGATAAACATTGACAAACCAAAAAATATCATAAACGCTTCCTTCTAGGAAGGGGTGGAAACTTTTATTTTGTATATTTTCTTTATTTCACTTTTAGAGGGTATTTTTGTATTCAATGTCTAAAAATTAGACGGAAGATCTATTATGGAGCTATAACATACAATTTTTTCAAAAATCTGTAATCAATCTTATACATTGTCCAGTATTGCGAATCGCTATAATAATAATTGTTGTATGTATAATTATGTTATATAAATTTGTTGGATACATAATACATTACAAATAGCTTGGCCCATAACCATAAAATATAAGAAAGTCATGATGTGCTTAATAAATTAGAAATGTCGGTACTGTTTACACAATTCATTGGACTTTGGACAAAATTGAAAATTTCAATAAAAAGTCGACGAATGTAATTTGTAAAATGTTTACCCGTTGAACTCGGCGATCAAATTCTTGTCAATAAGTTAGCCAAACACTGGTTTAAAAAGCATTAATATTGTTCATTGATGACTATGATGGTTTTTAGTGACGTTCAAAAGCTTTGTAGGTAACTTCTTCTTTTTTTTTATAAGAGCAAATGTTATTTTAGCGTTATGCGTTTATTAAACAAAATGAAAAACAGTACTTAATAATTATACAATTATTGTATAATTGTTGTTTTATAGATTGTTCATTGTTACACGCTTATTATTATATAATATATGTAGACAGTAATAATTACATGAGAATACCATCCGAATATCCGGGGACATTATTATTGCATGATATATTATACACAATACAACACATGGTTCTAAATGTCATATACACATTACACGCATGTTAGAACTATAATATTATGCGTGCCAAAAGCGATAACGGTTAACTTACCTTTACCGAATATGCATTGAACATTTGCATTTAAAATAAATGCGAATTTACAGAGGGAATATGGAGGATACGGATACCCCTCCTCCTTGGTCTGTTGGCTTTATATTATAGTTTTTCCCCGTATTTCTCAATATAATATTACTTTTATGTCCAACTGGCTTCGAATTTCGGACATTCTAAATTGCTTTTTAAAAAACTAACACTGGTTAAGATACGGCGATGATGGGCGAGGGAACAATAAGAAATGTTTGCCAATGCACATCGTGGAAATACGGGTATATTGTCAAGGGGGAGGGCTTGACAAAATTCTGAACACATCAATGTTTATACAATATATTATGTTAGTTGTAGACTCGTTTTCTGAAAATAAAAAATAATACAAAAAATTATGAATTTAAAATAATTTATCATTTGCAAAAAAATAAACTTTACTACAATATCTCTTATATTTAAACGCAAAATGTACGAATTTCCGAAGGAGATTCTTTTAAAAATAAAAAAGGAATATTCAACAGTTTCCGAGCAGTCGTAAAAAATAAAGTTATTAGTTTCAATTGAGAGATTCAATATGTGTACGCGTACTGCGTAATAGCAAGCGGGTATTTTGATACGGGTCTTTTTCAGATCTTATGTAGCCTGTAGGTATTAATTTAATGTTAAATATCCTAATATTGTAGATTCGTTTTTTCATACATATTAAAAAATTTTAAAACTATTTTACTTATTTTTACTACTCTTATATACTGTAATAATATTGGATTATGCAAAATGCACCTTTAAAAAACCTCAGTTCAACTGTACAGAACGCAAAAATATATAAAAGTTTATTATTTTGAATTATTTTTTTAAATCTTTAATGTATAAGTACATTGTGTTCGATGTTGACAACTTGTCTCGACAAATTATATTTTGAAGAATAGAAATATCGTTAAATTTCTGACAATGACAGATGTCTTGACATTTTAATAAAATACAAAATGTGTTTTCATCAACAACCTTAAAATATTTTCCAATATTGTAAATAATTTTTCGAATCATTTGTTTTTCATATATTATTTACTTTCACAGAACTTATTTTTTTACTTTGTTCTATACTATACTGCTACTTATTTATAGTTCTCTTCTTATTTTCTCATTCTCAAACTTACTTTTGTATGGAAATTTGATCGTTTTAAAAAATTCGTACTAACAAAATGTCTGGATTATATTTAATATAATTTTATTTCCTAGCAAAATATCTTTAAAAGCGCAATTATTTTTGGCGTATACAACTGTAATGATATATCTCTAAAACGTTTTCCAGTTTAATACGCATTTTTACTAAAATAGGTTAATAAGTGGGATGACTCAAAAAATATAAATATGTATCAAACGGTTATAAATTATTTTTATTAAAAGTTTCCTGTTTTGTTGTTAAAAAAAAGATAAAAACTACCAAATCCGATTTCCTTCATTTTCGGGAATAATATTCGTATAATATTTGAACAGCATTAACATATTGTATAGATAAAGTTAACAATAACAAATTGTAGGTATGTTTGTTTCATGAAAAATACACGTTATTAGTTTTAACTACACATTTTACCTTGTAATTTCTATATAATTTGTCCTTGTTAGTAGTTACGATTATTCAATATTTCAATGTTTATTTGGTAAAAAAAAAGCCAACACCGCAGAATCGGGGCATAGTGGAAGAGAGTGTATTGGTATAGAGGAGGTCACAGATTTTCGGTAATTATTAAAACTGATAGTGATAAATTCACTTTGAAATAAACGCTTCAATGCGAATCTGCAGATGGTAGAAATATTAAATGTCGTTTATGACAAAAATGTGCTTGAAAAAAATATAATGCTCAACAATAATAAAAATAGCAAAAACCCTTTTGATATGTTTAATAGTGTTGTTGCTTATAGCCTTAATATTCTATCTTAAGCAACGGTTAACGTTTGTGGAGAGGCGGATCAAAGTTTACCACATACCGCGTCATGTGGTGCAATAATATAGCAACAGACATTAGGCGAATAAACTCCGAGAAATACCGTTAACATCGTTTTATACTTAAAAAATTCAAAGATAGTTAATCAAGTTTGAGTCGACAGCTAAGTAATTATTATGATACTCCTTAACTATATTGTTTTACCGCTTTGAAATAACAGTTTAATATAATACAATTAAGAAGAGAATAATCGATATTGTTTTGAAGGTTTTACTATACTTATAAAAGATCGGTTGAAGATTATAACATTTAAGTACCTACCTAAAGATAAAAACTGTATTTTCTGTTTTTTCTCCATTAAAAGCCAAATTGACAAAAATTGTACCAATATGAGTTTTTAATACCGTAAAAAAAACTAAAAACATTAATATGAATCCTACGGCAAAATACTACAATGTGTCCGCCCACCTTTATTATGAACTAAAGAGCGTAATATAACATTGCGGTTAAGAGAATTGATTTTCACAAAAATTACCGTAATTTCATTTTAACCGTTAACAAATAAAGTAACGACAAAATAATTAAATGTTTAACGATAGAAAGTACAATCGATAGGAAAATTAGAATAAATTAACTGTTAATCCTATGTATATTAATACTCGCACAACAATTTAGATGTATAAACATTTTGTTTAGGTTTGGTAAAAAATATTACAAGTATCACATTTATTGTATCGTAGGGTGTGAGGGGTGAAGCTCCCACGCGACTTTTGAAAAAACAAACACAACACGAGAATGGCCGATTACATAATATTATTTTTAATACCTAGTAATAATAATAATAATCTTATTGAATTTAAGTGCACAAGTATATTGTGTTCGCCGTTGACCCACTGTCGAGACAACTTGTATTTTGACGAACAGCCTTATGACCAGAACCTAGCAGAAGTCTATCGTTAGAAACCAACCCAATTTTGGCGCACTCTTAACTGTTTATAGTCATCATGTTTTTAGTGACCGGGTTAACAGCATTTTATAGTACAATGGAATAATAATTTATCGTAGCGGTTAGGACCCTAGTGAAGTGTTTACGGGACTGGAAAAGGTAGATAGTAATAACAAGATTAGAGTAAAAAAAAAAGAAAAAAAAAATTTGGTGCCTAGGCGGCGGCAAAGTTTTACGCCCGCGTAACGGTCTCGCGCATGTCCTCCGCCGCCGCCGCAGCCGCCTGCTTCGCTGTCCTGTGTCCCACCGCCGACGCTTCTTCCCGTCCTCCCCTCTCGGCACCACGCCGCCGTCGGGGTCCCCCGTCCACACACGCGAGACACCGGCAGCGACGACGACGACAGCAGCGACGGCGGTGGCGGCAGCCCGGTTCCACTGATAATCGTCCAATTCCATTCAAGCCGCTCGATCGCGAGTTTCACGGCCGCGCGCTAGCGCTCTCCACGTCTACGTCTCTGTCGCACACGCCTCATTCGCCGTCCGCGGTTCTATTCATTTTTTGTCTCGCTAAAAAATCACAAAAATTTTTTTCTAACCCCGCACAGCGTGTATCTTATTTATTTGTAAAAAAAAAAAAAAAATTCCGTCTACAACTATAAACGAGAAACACCCATCTCGGTCGTGTGGTGGTGTCTGTTTACTGTAACCGAACAAGACTACGCCCGCGTTGGTATTTTTTCTTTTTCTTTTTGAAAAAGGCTCGTTTTATTTGTTTTGTCCACTTCGAATTATTTTCGATTGCGGTCCAGACAAACATCTCTCACTATCTGCAAATTAAGATCGCCGAGTGTGCCGCCGCGTCCGCGACCGAGTGACACCGCCAACGGTCATCGTCAAGTCGACTGCAGAGGAACACATGTCAAGTTGGTGGTAGAATGGGCAAGAAAGGCAAGAAGACTAGATGGCGGGAGCTGCCCATCACGTTAGGTAAGCGAAAAAGCCGCTTTAGCCGCACAGAACCGGTACCATCTGGTAAGGGCCAACAACGGGAAACCGAAGCCTAAGCTGCCGGTTGCCGGTTTTTGGATCGCGTGTAACTTAAGAATATCGGTTCTGTTTTTTTTTTATCTCTTGGTGTTCGATCCGATCTCTTGAGTACTTAGGCCAGAAGTAGAGCGCCGTACAAAAGGTATGGGTAAAAACGCCATCAGTTTTTTTCATTTTTATTATATTTCACTTCAACTGTGGTTTGTAATAAAAAAATTAATAAATTAATGTGTTACTTTTCTCGAAAAACCGGTAAATAAATAACGTATATTTATGTATTTTTCTTTAATTCAAATTTTTTTTACTATTAAAATTTTTCAATTTACCTACCTTTGGCGTAGAGCTAAAAAATATCGCATTTACATAACGATTTTTTTGTGTAATTCATTTAAATGTTACTTATTGCAAAAATTACGCAATCCTACATGCTACAAATGCGGTTATTATTATTTTTTTTTTAATAGCAAGACGTTGTTATAATTATTTAGATGTTATTAAGTCGGGTCATTATATTATATATTATGACAAAGGTATCTCGTAAATCCGATTTTTTTGTATCATGAGAAAAACATTAGACTGTAGGTGTAGTATAATAATAATGTTGAATATTAATTGCAATATATTTTAGTGTTAAGGGAGCGGGGGGCAATTAAAACACTGTCGTTTCCAGTATCTAATTTAGTGGTTTGTATATAACAAACCATAATTGTTTCGTAACTCGTTGATTAAAAGTGTATTCGATATAATATTGTTGAGATTAAAAAAAAATACCGGCGGCTTGAGTACCAGCGATAAGGGTTATAAGAACCGGCAGACCGTATAATCCGTGACGGCAGTGGTGGTGGGAGGGTGCATAAGCAGGTAGTCAAAGAAAGCGGTAGCGGTCTAAGTTTGTTAACTGACTTGTTTTATAATATATGGCATGTTTTGCATCTTTTTTTTTCTCTCCGTTTAACGACAACCGGTAGGTGCTGATGATGTCGGTAGTTAAATCAAACTAATGGAGGAGACTGTAAAATGTTTGATTTCCTAATTGAATTTTAAACAGTCGTCACGTCTTAACGAGTCGTTCAATGTTATTGAAACATAAATTATATAACTTTTCGTTTTAAAATTATAACAAATAGACGTGCCGCTTTTAAATTGAACGATTATCCGCCGACTCGACCCGAAGCATAATTATTTTCATTTTATTCTGTGACAGTATACCAATTATTTCCAGGCGGTTTGCACGAATACCGGAAACATCTGAACAATCAGACTTGATTAAATCAAAGTATCATTTTTTAAGCTCAACTAGTGGTTTACAGGCATCTGTAGTATAATATATTATGCGTTAAATTATACATGCTTTAATACTTATAAAATCATCGGTAAAGCCTTAGTTAATCGTAATCACAATTTCGGGAATGGTCATTCGTTAAGGTATGGAACCAAGCGGTTACAAAACATTAATTGTCTAACACGTTTTATTGAACTATTGACTAAAGATGAGGCGTCTAGTTTCAAAACCATCTAAAAACATTTAAAAAACGTGTTTTTTAGTGTCTACACTATTACTAGGTTAACTATTATTGAATATCAAATAAAGATTTAAAAATCGCCGGTCTGAAGAAATTATTTGTTGTTTGTGAAAACTGTTTTTAGCTGGTTTTGAAACAAGACACCTCAGTTAAACGAGTATAAATTGGGTTTTACCGGTTTTGGGAAACCCGATAATTAACAGCAGTTTTTTAATTTAGTAACAGTTATTCATGTGAGGTATCGAGTGTCTATGTTTTCAAACCTCTTAAACATGCAAAACCTAGATAACGCTTTAATCCATAGCTAATCATATTTTTTTTTTTGGTTATTATATTATGCTTTTAGACTTTAGAACGCTTAAAATTAATATTTTTTTTTTTTCACTGTTTTATTACTAATCTAGTTTTTAAGCATTTCTATAATATTGCTTTTCGCTTCTGTATAACAACTTAGCTGTTAATACTTAATTAGTTTTATCTATGTTATGTAATTGTTTCTATTTATTAACCGTTCTCTAACCATACTAATATTTTCAATTTTGATTTTTCAGTAATAAATAATAATGTACGTTATTTACTTAAAACGAAATAAATAATAGCTTCCGTGAATTTTTAATTACACAATATGATTTTATATGATGCATAGGACACGGACAACTTAACAATATAGTTATTTTTCAATGAATATCAGCTCTGGTTTTCACTAAATGATGTAAGATGTGGGAGTGCTTTTCGATCGATTTCGTACAAGTTTCTTGGTAAAGGAAATATTTTGAATTATTTTGCTTTTGCTTCCTACGCAGCTATATTATTACATAATAATATAGAGTAGTTTATATATAATTAATTATTATTTATACCCTATTGTTACATGGCTATAAATAGAAAAAATCATTACAAAATAGTTTCTGTAAATTGCATTGCTTTTTTTCGGGTATATAGTGAGAGTACTAACGAAATTGTTTTCCACGAGACAATAATAGACTATAAGAAATTTATTAGGCGGTGACTTAATCAATAAATTATTCTGTACATCGAACATCGTGTATTTGCATATTAATGTCGGCGCCATTTAATCGCTGTATATAAATGTTCCGGTAGAAAAAACCTATCAGAATTTATATCGTTTGGGAATTTAATTTAAAAAACACTAATTAGACGGAAAAATCGAGCGATTATTTTTATTTGACCAGATCGTTGTTGGTCGATAGGCGGCAGATGCAATTAACAAGGTACCGCATAATATTATTATATTGTAAGTGCATTATTTTATGCTTGTAAGATCAGGTTTTTTTTTCTGATCACACCTAAACCGCAGATATTATATGCTGATTATTATCGAATAACTTTACTTGAGTTTACTTTGGGTAGCCTACGGTGTTTTTCGGAGTTTGAACGTTATGTTTTATGTTTTTTTCGGGTATAAAAAGACCAATATTTGCTCGAAGTCGAACGATAGGCACAATTTTTGTAATCCAGCAAAAAGATAATAGTAGTATTATTTATTATTTATTAGTATTACATAGTTTTCGATCATTCGACGTTGTTATTTGGCATGTCCCGTATGTTCTTCGGCTGAAATGTCACGGGGCCGTTTGCGGGGGAAGCAATAAAGCCCCGGCGCTATGCTCGCAGTTCTTCATAAGACGTTAAAACACTCCGCAATGGCAAACGTGCGAAAATGTGTGTACATGCAATAAAGTACATTTGGCTTTTGCACGGGTTTCATCGTTCGACGGCAAACAATACGACCGTTACCCGTTACTTATTTTATCACACGGTTTTGACGCCTATTTTGATTCTTTGGGACAATTTACGGTTTATATCGAATCGACTGGACTCTAACGTAGCGTATAACATGATAACGCAAGAATGATGATGGTAAACATACGGTTTACCATTACATGTAAAGAAGTACAGATTAATGTAGCATTACTACAATACTTAGCACCGGGGCCGTGTAATTATCAATATCGGAAGTGTAATCGATTTATGACAAAATATAATATGTATCATACATAGGCGCAAATAGTCAAAGACTCGATTGCGTGCAAAATTTCATTTTTTTAGTCATAACATTAATTGCAAAAAGTAAAAAAGCGAAGAGAACGTTTTGGGTAAAAATCGAAAACCCTGATTTTAATTAATCAAAATTAATAACGCGTACATATTTTACTAATTTGAAAATTTCCATCATCATCCCTATGTACAGAATAATTATATCAACTTTGTTTTTTCAATTGCAAACACATACCTACATTTAAGTCGATAACCGGGTGGTAAAAAATTTAATTTTGAAATTGTCGTTTGAATTTTTAATTTTCAATAATCGGTTCGTCATTTATGACTTTTTAAAGATTTGAATTTAAGATCAGTGTTCATTCGGGTTTTAAAAACAGTAGCTCAGCGAATTCCCATAAAATAATAATAATAATATTGACTCGTCCATAACACTGTCACCGATAATCAGACATCAATAACACTCATTTTTATTTTTTATTTATACGGATAAGCCATTCTTTACCTAACTGCTTGGAGATAATAATAGACGAGCGGTTCGTATTTATCTATTCAAATACAGTGACGCCTACTAGTCTTAGTAATAACGAAAGGATATTGACAACAGTTAGTAGAAAAACGAAAGTCATCACTAAGTCATTGCAACGAACAGATTGATGAAAATTCAAACGCTAACATTTTTTGTGTTTTTGTCTACACATTTATGGAATTAAAACGTATGTCCCCATTTGAAAAAACGAAGTCCATACTTATATTACGTATAAGGAATGAAGATAAAAATGTTCTATGTATTGAAAAACATATGCATCTACAATTATAGGAAGAAAATAATTTATAAAGCTGGATAGCTCGGACAACAGTTAATACTTATTTACTAGGTAGGTACATACTCCGTCCACTTCATTTAAAATAAAGGGATATTATATAGTGTAACATTATTTTTATCTGCGAGCATAAGTGTCTACCGCACTCTACCTCCGCCCTAAGTTTGAAGTTTTAATAACTTTAAAAGTTATTCAAAACTAGTTGTCGACCAGTCAAAATGTTCAGTAAATTATGCTCAATTAAAAAAGTTAAATATATGCGTTACCATTTAAGTTTTGATAGTTGGCAGAGCTCTCGAAAATATCAAAAAAGATAAAAATTTGTCTATATTAGTCTAATATTGTAAAAAACATAAACAAAAATGTCTTCCAAAAAGTGAAAATAAAACGACCATTTTTTTACAACCCCCTTAAAGTAATTTTAAAAAATAATAAAATACTCACGTTTTATCTATTGTGTTTGCTTAAACAATATATTGTAAAATACAAATGTCGGTCGTTTATTGTTGCGTGGTAATACTTTTGTTAAAATACTCGTACTTTGTCGGTGTGTCACGCGTGTTTCGGTCGATCC